GGTTCTGCTAGTTGCTTGCATGCAGTAATTCTTCTTATCATTAAAGGTGGTCTGATCCAAAACTGCTTAGGGTAGTTTGCTAATTAGGAATTAAGGTTTTTATTTGTTTAATATTTTGGTTTATCAAATAACAAAAGGCTGATTCAGTACTAGTAGTTGTTGGATCAATCCTCGTGGGAATGATACTCTACTCATCATTGTATTACTTGATCGGCTAGTGCACTTGCTAGTGTAATCTATACGCATCAAGTTTTTGGCGTCGTTGTTGGGGATTATCACAACAATATTAGGAACCATCAACTGATGTTAATCTGAATTTAATTTTGTACATTATGTTTATGATATGTGTGTATTAGTCTCTTTATGACTTTGACTTGTATAGTTTATGACACACAGAAGTGAAAATGAGAGCATCACCTACGATCCCGAGATTGAACGAACTCTCTGTCACCACCTTAGAGCTTCTAAGAAAGGGAGAGCTAAAAGTACAGAGATGGCCGAACAAAGGACCATGATGGATTATGCCAAACCAACCCTCATCGGGGCAGCCTCGAGCATTGTGAGACCAGCAATAGCTGCCAACAACTTCGAAATCAAACCAGCTATCATTCAAATGATCTGGAACACAGTTCAGTTCTGCGGTTTAGCTCATGAAGACCTGAACACTCACATCGCCAAATTCTTGGAAATATGTGACACATTCAAGCACAATGGGATTAGTGATGGCTCAGATTGTTTCCGTTCTCATTGAAGGACAAGGACAAGACTTAGCTGAACTCTCTACCAGCTGGATTGATTGCTACATCGGATGAAATGGCCAGCCGCTTCCTATCCAATTATTTCCCTCCGTCCAAAACAACAAAGATGCGGAATGATATCACCACCTTCTCTCAGCAGGATGGAGAACCATTGTATGAGTCATGGGAGCGTTACAAGGAACTATTGAGGAAAGTCCCTCATCATGGACTTCTCATATGGCTGCAAGTTCAGACATTTTATAATGGGTTGACTGAAGCCAATAAGACCATTATGGATGCTGTAGATGGGGGATCCATTAATAATAAGACCCCTGAAGTTGCCCATGCACTCATAGAGGAAATGACTGCAAACAACTACCAATGGCATTCCGAGCGAGCCCAAGTTAGGAGACAGCCCGGACTTCATAATGTAGACACCTATACAGCACTATCTGCACAAATCGTTGCCCTCAGCAAGAAGATAGATGAAATGCAGTTGGCAGCCATGCATGTTCAGACCATAGTCTGTGAATGGTGTGGGGGGGGTCATATCAGCACTGAATGTCAAGTCAGAAATCAGTTCGTGCAGTCCCCCGAGCAAGTAGATTTTGTTGGGTATTTGCAAAGGCAGCAAGGCAATCAGTACCCTCGTGCATTCAACCCCGGATGGAGGAATCACCCCAATCTGTCTTGGAAAAATCAAAATGCGGTGAAACCCTTTCCCCAAAATTTCCATCAGC